AACGTGTTTAAAGAAAGATTGGGGGAATGTACGAAGGCCAAAGCAGTGTTAACCCTAAAACCTGCTGCTACTCCCGTTTTTTCGACCTAAAAGACCTGTACCCTATGCTGCTCTTCCAATAGTTGAACAAGAATTACAACGACTTCAGCAAATGGGTGTTATCGAGCCTGTAAACTTCTCGAATTAAGCTGCACCAAAAGTGGTGATCAAGCAGTCAAATGGAAGTGTCCGTCTATGTGCAGACTACTCCACGGGATTAAATGAATATCTAGAGTCCCACCAGTATCAGTTGCCCTTACCGGAAGATCTTTTCGCTGAGCTGAACGGTGGCAGATATTTTGCAAAATTGAACTTATCAGACGCGTACCTACAAATCCCTGTATCTGATAAAATCAAAGATCTCTTAACGATCAACACACACAAAGGTCTGTTCCGGTATAACCGACTACCTTCTAGAGGGGAGACAGCGCCCTCTATTTTCCAGCAAATTATGGATACAATGTTACAAGGTATTCCAGGGGTAGCAGCTTACTTAGACGACGCCATAATTATGACAGTAGATAAAATGGACCTGCAGAAGAAACTGGACCAGGTACTAGAATGCATTGTCGATTATGGTTTTCGCCTCCGAGCAGAAAAGTGTGACTTCTATATGCAGCACGTTCGGTACCTTGGGTTCATAATAGATAAAGACGGAAGACGACCAGATCCAGAGAACATTGAAGCAGTGAAAAAAATGCCTAGACTCAGGGACATTACTACCCTACGATCATTCTTGGGATTGGTCGGCCATTATGGTACCTTCCTCCCCTATCTCCATCGTCTACGTGCCCCACTAAACAGCCTACTACAAAAGAATACAAGATGGAATTGGTCTGCAGACTGCCAAGCGTCTTTCGAGAAAATCAGGCAACTCCCGACTTCCAATCTCTTATTGACGCATTATGATCCTTCGCTGCCTATAGTCGTTGCTTCAGATGCTTCTAACTATGGTGTGGGCGCAGTTGTCTCTCACATTTTTTCTGATGGGTCTGAAAACGCTATCGCACACGCTGCGAGATCTTCGACAACGACCGAAAGGAACTATAGTCAGATTGAGAAAGAAGCCTTATCAATTATTTTTGCAGTGATAAAGTTTCACAAGATGATATGTGGTCGACATTTTGCCCTAATAACAGATCATACGCCACTACTTGCAGTTTTTGGGTCAAAGAAAGGTATACCTGTGTAAACGGCAAATAGATTGCAACGTTGGGGAACTACACTTTTGGGTTATGACTTCAAGATCAAGTACCAGCCCACTACTGATTTTGGACAAGCTGACGCTTTATCTAGACTGATTGGCTCACAAGTAAGACAGGAAGAAGACACTTTGGTGGTAGCAATCGAGACAGAAACAGAAGTACATCGAGTATTAGAGGACGCAGTCGATGGTTTACCAGTTACTTTCAAGGCCATCAAAGAAGCCTCGGAAAGTGACAAGACTTTAAGAGAAGTTAGTAGTTATTTTCTCACCAAGTGGCCGAACCGTCGTTTTCAAAGAGAAATGCTACAATATTTTCTCCGACGGGACTCTCTCATGATGGTCGACTCATGTATTATATTTGGTGAAAGAATTATTGTTCCAAAAGTATTACGCTACAAGGTTCTGAGACGATTCCACAGCGGTCATCCTGGTGTCAATAAGATGAAAGCGCTGGCTCAAAGCTACGCATACTGGCCTACGATGGATCAAGATATCGAAACCAGATGCCGCAATCGTTCATCGTGCGTACAAACAGCCAAACATCCAAGCAAGTATGAACCGCAACAATGGGAAAAGCCGAATAGTCCCTGAGAGAAGCTGCATTCAGACTTCGCCGGTCCAATACGAGGAAGAATGTATCTAATCATAGTAGACGCGCCCACAAAATGGCCACAAATCTACGCCATGGTGAATTGCACAGCCAGTGAAACAATCAGCAAGTTATCCAATCTGTTTAGTTGCTTTGGAGTTCCGGAGACTTTAGTGACCGATAACGGCTTACAATTCACTGCAAAATCATTCAAGCACTTCTGCAACGTTAGTGAGACTGTGCACATACGATCTCCGCCGTATCACCCTCAATCAAATGGCCAGGCAGAGCGCTTTGTGGACACATTGAAAAGAGCACTACTGAGAGGGGGAGGCAAACGGACGACAGGGCAGGTGATCACAAAATTTTTGACATCCTACAGATCCACCCCGAACCCGAATGTTCCAGACGGCAAGTCCCCTGCGGAAGCCATGTTCGGAAGGCGTATTCGAACCGTCTTCGATGCCATGTTGCCATCCGAATTAGTGGATGAGCGCAGTCACGATCCAAGTTTCCGGAACTTTATTGTTGGCGACAAAGTTTACATTAAATCCTACATCAGGAAGAACTGATGAGAGCCGGGAGAAGTTGTACAAAATCTGGGAAGAGTTCTGTACAGAGGTCGAGGAGCTTTTGGGACATGTATACGACACACAAATCAAATCCTTAAGGACAAAAGACACGAAGTAACCGACCGAACTTTCCGTTAGATTTAATCTTAGATGCACCAATGCCACAAATGCCCAGGAACACTGAAAAGAAGCATTGGACAAGGAAAACGACAAGAATAATGGGACGCCGTCGCAACTCAGTTGTCAAACTACAAGTAGATCCCAGAAAGAAATCTTTTTCGAGGGAGGTGTTGAGTCGGCTTCGGAGAACTTCAACGGAGCTTCCAGAGGCCTAAAAGGAGCCGAAGGGTCCTAGCCAATCAGAGTATGATGGAACGTTCTAGAATTTCGACGTGGCGTGCTACTATTGGTCGGTAGCATAATATGTCGTTAACGGATTGGCTGAAATATGATGTTGATTTAAGAGACGCCAACATCTATAAATACCTATGATTTTCTATACAAAAATGAATCTTGGGATAAAGTATTTTCTCTCATACTTGTGTCTTCTCTCTGGTGTTCAAGTCGCTGTGTAGTTCTAGACTGCGGGTTACCAGAATAGCTTAGGAAAACGAATATAGCGTTCGATCAACAAGACTTATCACTAGCAATCAACATACTCATGTACGAAGTTGAGACCTTAAAAACATCATCGATGGATCTCTGGAAAGTTTGTGCTCCATTCCTTAAGACGAAAGAGGTGTGTAAAAATTCGAAGAGATCAAAAAGGATGATGATGATAGAGGTTTTATAAATGTCGTCATCAGCCGTGGGAATTTGGTTACACTCTTTAACCAAAACGATTTTCGAAAAAATGATTGTAGCTGTCAAGGTAGCTGTCAAATAGTGAATATGAGAAAACGGGTAACGATCAGAAATGGTTTTCTCACTCAATCGCCGATAGTCACCAACTGAACGCCAATTGTTGCTGTCTTTTTTAAAGACTGTGTGCATATGAAGTGTCCATGAGCTGTTTGATGGCCGAATAATCCCTTAGCCTATCATGTGGTCAAATTTGTTTATAACCAACCCAGCTTTTTGAAAACTGGTCGTCGCGCTTTCAAGAATACAGGTGACCCCGTGGTCGAGATGTAATGTATAACACTTTTGGTTATACACAGTTTTCGGTCGTATTCGGTGCAGTTTAAAGCACTTGTTGAGTATCCGCTGGTAGTGTGTGTTGATTATGTGCCTAAGAGTAACAATCTACAACCGAAACAGATCACAAAAACAGAAAATCTGGTAGTTACATCTAATGGCCTCCATTTGCACGTGTTAGTGAGTAGATTATGGTGTCGTAACAGATCTATATAAATGATTGACACAAAAACATCTGCAACAACGAAGATTTCGTGAACGGGTTTGAGTAATTTCATGTTGAGGTAAACATATCGCCTACCATATGTGGTATTCGATTTGCCTTTGCTACCTGTAAGTTGAAAAGTGTTCGTGAAGTCGGTCGTTGCTCGAAGATTCCCAGCCTCTGTACATGTCGACAAGGTAGCGAGCTTTCGTCATTACATCAGTGATATAAAACAGACGGCTACGTCCGCCGGCTACGGTTGCCATTAGTGTGCGCTTGCTAGGACGCTCCCCGAAAGAAATTTCGTGTCTGTCGGTTTGGAGCTCGGAAAACGCCAGGGTTTTCTGAAATTTAGAGAAAAGCTGTATGAACAAGTGCTCGTCAAAAGTCCGTTGACAAATGACCTCTCACATTCGCAGCAACATTTCTGCTGCTGAGCCATGTTGCAGCTTGGTGTTAATGAAGAGCTAGTCTAACCTTTGTCAGTCGGTCAGATCTCTGCGCTTAAGAATAACCTTTTTAAAAGTCTCGTAAGGTTCACAAACACCAGTAGTAAATTACTAGGGGCGACGTACTCGTTGACTTCACTGTCGCGAAGAACTGAGCACTTGGGTCTTACGCGTCACACTTATGGATGTCAGTTTCTGCGTGGCTTCGATATAGTCGGGCCAAAATGGGATCAGCTCAAGTGAGTGAGGAGATAGTATTACTCTTAAGTAACTTAGGAGTCCGTTCCGCCATGATAAATATAAAGTGTGACAGTGAAAAACAAGAAAGATATTCGAAAATACGGAAACAGCATCACAATACGTAAAGAAGTAACAATAAAAAATAACACTTAATGTCCCGCAAACTAATGAGGTTGGCTTCAAATGATAAAGACTTGAGTTTGGGGATTTAATTGCCGCTACAGTGTCCTGGCTTAGGTGCTGCAGCTTTCGATACGTAAAGTCAGTGCTCAGGTCCACTTCTGAGATTCCTGATCAGTTGAAAGTGAAGCCCTCTTCGATGTAGTTTGTATGGGTAGGTTGATATGTCCGAAAGTACTGTTCCGATAGAAGTTCGGCAGCGTCACCAACATTTTTGGTTAGGCCATCAGGACTTGATATTTTTATGAAGTATTTATGAGAAAGTGCCGGATACTTTACATGTCTTGAAAGTTGAAACTAAACTTTAAACATCGACAATGTTTGCCCAGTGACCTTACCCACCTCAAGGTCTTCAGGAGGTAAAAAGTGCTTGTGCAGTTTTGGCGGTCTTGGTTTTTATTTTTATTGCTAACTTCCCAATTTATATTCATTTGGTCACCTACCTGGCATTCTCACACCAGGCATGACAGAAAATTTAAGCATAATTTTTAAGATCATCTGTTTGTAATGTGAAATGCGCTGGCAATAAATGAGAGAGACTATAAAGGGATACTGGATTCGAGGTCGGGTGGAAAGTTAAGAGTGACTTTATCTGTGTCATTGTTGAAGATTGTAAGGCTTGCCGATCAAAGTCGCCAGAGTTTGAAGAAATTGAGTTCCCTATAACGTGAATGATTAGGAAACATATATCAGTCTTCAGTAATAAGGATAGGAGGTCTATCGACCTATATTAATCCTTGCAGTTTGTAATACTGTGGAGGTCCAACCTCGTTTTGAATATATTAATAGACGGTGCTGATATAACGTGTTCCGGTTGAGAATTCCAGTAATTCACTACTCGTTGCGAGAAACGGAACTCCAGACGTAAACGGTTTGATCTCGGTTTTTGAACTTTCTTCGAATGTCCTCTCAAATGATCGGTTCTAGACGGAAGCAAAAGATAAGACATGTTAATATCAAGGTCATCGTTCAGTATACGATAGGCCAATATTAGATCACCCCGTATTCTACGGTAAGATAACGGAAATAAGTTAAGGTGTCTCAGTCTGTCTTCATAAGATAGGCCAGATAGACCTTGTACCGTCTTAGTAGCTCGTCGTTGGACTCTTTCTAGCATATCTGCTTCATACTTGAAACAAGGATACTCTGCTTGAATCCCGTATTCTAAATGTGGTCGCACATAAATCGGATATAGTAATCTAAACATTTCACCATCTAAATACTGGAAAGACCTACGAATTGACCATAATACCCTATAGCCTTTTGCAGCAGCAGCCTTACAGTGACTAGTGGTTTTGAGATCATTGCTTAATATGACTCCTAAATCTTTATAGTTTCTTGCTTTGGGTAGCACGAATCCACGTAGTGTATAGTCATACGATTCATCAGAGTTATTTAACTGCATCACTACACTCTTATTAGGATTTACTTCTAGTGACCACCTGTCTAACCATGCCACCAATGAGCTAAGATCGTCCTGTAATACTATTCTATCCGACATACTATGTATGGGTCTCCAAACCTTTATATCATCAGCGAAGAGTAGAATAGATGATTTTGCTACAGTTGGCAACTCCTCTTTTTGTACTCCATTTATGTTTGGCATCATTGTTACCTTCTTTAGCTGTTTCAAAGTTCAAGATCAATTTCGATTTTTGTAACTTTTCCGGTGAGACTAATTTATTGACGATCTTTGAGTGACTCTGGACTGACCTTGAGAGTGACCACTAAATAATCACGACCAAGTGAGTGTTATAAACCAGTGTGAGGAATTATAATTTACAGTTGATGATTAAGGTTAGGGATTAGGTTTCGGGTTTTCATCACGAACTGACATCAGCTATGATGCCAAAACTATTTATCCAAATGGATAGGTGAATTTCGCGCCAAAATCCCAGACCTATTATCTTATACGTGATTGGTTTGTCCATAAATTATAGTCTCTCCGCTCTTCCATTTAATTCAGAATACCTCTATCAAAACAAGTTCATCTTTTGGGGCTGTAAGACTGTGTCAAAACTAGCATTGATTACTCCCTTAAGGGCTACTTGACAAATTCCATCGAGTCTTCTACTAAGCCATACGAGTCTCAGAATCTCCATGCTTAGTTCATATCCTCTCCCGATACAGCTCAGTTCAGTAGCCATCGTCTTCATTTTCCCACCTCTAACCTTTAATCTCACTATCTTATATAGTCTCTTTTTTACACTGAAAACATTTTCCGGAGTATCTAAAATACAGAGTACGGGATAAATGTTCCTTTAAACGATCCTACTGTTGGTTTCAAGTGACAGTTCACTTCTAGATAGTACACATGGGTGAGAGTTAAAGTTATCAAGTTTTCACTTAATAAACTACTTATGTGATGCATTTTCCAAGTGTTCATGCAATAGCACTATTTCTAAAATATATGGTTAAATATTTTCTTCATTTACCTTTCTTCAGACCATAGTATTATAATAGTATTCAAAGGGATTTCGATGATCTGTAAGTGAAAACATCCATCCTATCAACTACCATCTTGAAGTCCCGATAGATAACTCCATCATGAAAATCTGAGTTTATCAAAATTTGGGAAAATTGCAGCTTCATTGCTTAATTCTCCTGAGTAAAATGCAATCTCGAAGTCGTCCTCAAAGCAACCTCAAAAGTAACTGACATTTTTTTTAACGAGTTAAGACTTTGGTCTAGATGACTCGCGAAACAGGTTTCAAATAGAACTGGAATTTGTCCAATGTCTTGCGAATCCTAACTATCTAAATTGTATGTTTATGTTTTCTTATTATCCCTAGTTCTTGCACAGCAAGGTTGGTTTGAAAAGCCAAATTTCATAAAGTATTTGAAGTATTTACTGTATTGGAAGGACCCTGCATACTCAAGATATCTCATGTAAGTTAACTCAAGTTTGACTCAAATACCATATTTCATGATTATTTATAGAGTGAAATTAAAAAATACAATCTTCCTAAACGTTGTCATGACTAAAAGTGTATCTTCATAACCTTATGTATTGACTGAGCATTTACTTCTGTCACCCACCTGTTGGCTCGCCATTTTGCCATATATATATATATATATATATATATATATATATATATATATATATATATATATATATATATATATATATATATCAACCTTTATTCTCAAGGTGGGAACTTTTTCGAAGCTACAAGCTTGTTTCAGCATGTCATGAGTGTGACTAATGCTTATGTCTGCTTTCCTATGGGCGGATCAGTGCTATGTGCAGTCAATCTGTCTACATAAACTATCATGTGGTAAATTTATTGACTAGCTTAACATAAGATGAGCTTAACACACATAAGAACCTCGTGAGCATCTAAAAATGTACTTCAGAAAACCATCGGTTTGGTACAAATATATGTTATTGGTAAAATCCTTTTGTATCCAAGTCAAGTCGCAAACTTTGATGTTAAATCTACAGGGTTTTGAAAAAAGGTCAGATTTCGTGCAGGGAAACAGCTCAGTATGTTTTTGATAAACCAGTTTTTAGCAATTACGACTTTCTGAAGCGTTGTCACGTAAATGTCTCTATAAATAACCATGCGAACCGACAGTTCTATCAATAATAATTTCGGTCTGAAGTCGCACTGTGCTACTAATGAGTAGTGCAACTATAGCGTATAGTAAATAGTTTATCAATTCAGGTTTTTAACCACGTAATATATATTCTCCTTTCATTTCTAGTTATCCGTATTGTCTTCACCTGCTTGATCTTTTGCAACATGCGGAATTTCGCTCTGCTCTTGCACGAGGTCAGATATGCCGAATGATCGATGATCAAATTCTTCTTCACTGGCAGCACTATATGCGTAAGCGTGCAGCTCTTATAGCTAAACACGTTGAAGAAACTATACAACCCACTTAACTTCACGTCTGAGCTATGGAATGTGCTAAGTCGTTCATAAATTGATTTTCATTTTCAGACTTGTGTTTTTCTTTCTGGAGATGTCTTTTTGCCATCATATCAGGCGTTTACTAAACACTGAGCTCTTTGTTTGGTCTCATTATACTTGGATTTTTTTACGAAATAAGATTTTGTTGACAATGTAAACCAAGATCATGTAAATTCATTTCAGTGCATTAGCTTTAATCGATTTCTGTTAAATTTCTAATATTTGATTTATTTTGCTCAACTCTTCATATTAAGTTACTCTTCTTAAAATTAAGTATATATTTGGGTATTAACCTCCCAGATGGAACCTGCAGTTTTACTCTGAACACTTCGAACTGACTGTTGGGATAGTTCGCGTACACCGTAGGCGCATTTAGTTCTGGTGTCTGTTGGAGTGCTTAATAACTGTACTGTTTACTTGTCTCAATTCCAACATAGGGCAATTATCTATGCCGAGACCTAATTGCATTTCAAACAAAAAATTGTTTTTAACTTCAGCGAATAATTGATTATCGTATGCTGAACTTATGCTAATTGTTGTTAGCAGTCTAATGTAGTACTGTTCTTTTAACTCCACTTATGCAAATAGATGTTTGAATACTGACGTCTAATCACCGCGTAAACCCTTAATCAGTGTACCTATAATTTGTTAGCATTTCTCATTATCCCTGTCCTATACTCAATAAGACGTTTCATTGTCTCTTATTTCTACCCTTATGAGTCTAATTATTCACTTCTAAAAATAGTTTTTTTTTGGGAAATCATAGCGTTGTACATTATGGTCAGTCTACGTCGAAGTAGGAGAAAATGATAAGTTGAAGCGGAACGACGATCTATCTTAATATTAAGTTATACAAGCATTGTTCATGAAATCAAGTAAATGCAATTGAAAGATAGGGTATATAATACTAGTTCTCCGTTATTAAGTATCGATATAATCATACTACAAATAGGCGCCCGGGACATTTGCTAAAAGCAAATGTCATTGAAATTACAAATTTTCTGTGTGATCGCATTCAGAATATTACGCTGGTGTTCTACTAGCTATTTATCAAAACGCGACTATCAAATAAGCTCATTTAACTAATACTCATGCAAATAAATTTTGCATATTAATGATATGGCTTGTGCGTAGCGTTACAAAAGAATAAGATTGATTTATATTTAGAATGTTCTTAACCTTTAACCGTTATTGTAGAACAGCTTATGGTTAAAGCGGAGAGGTCATAGTATCGGTACATTTTGATAAGGAATACCACCGGGCACAATTATTACTGAAGGGATTTGTTAATTTTCATACTAATCTAAGTGACTGACTTGTTTCAAGTCTCTTCACCATATTCTTTAGTTGTTGTTTAATAAAAAATGAAAACAAACTGCATTGGGACTATAATTACACTAACAATTACCAAGTATGTTAAAAAATTTCAAAGGGATATTGATTATTAACCATCCGACTTAGTTTATTATTCGTCAACTTCACTAACCCTACTTAAGTATACCACGTTCAGTTAGATGGATGCAATAGTAGCTAAGGTCAAATCACAAGTTAGAAGTTCTGAGCTTAGATGTAGGAGATAATACTTTAGGAGCATTAATGTTTGAACTAATAAAAACGCAATATATGGCTGAGATGATACTACTAGGCTTTTGTTTTGAAGAATAAATTATAGGGCAGGACTTAACCTGATAATGCGAGATATAGATAAATATTTGTTTTGGTTGGTTTCATTTCAGTTCCTTTCCTTACATCCGTTTAGGATACTTGAAAATTGAGTGGTAATTATTGTACACAAATTCCTTAAAGTACTCATGTGTTTACTAGGTAAGTAATTTACGTTTTTTGAACGACTATTAGTTATGCTGGACTGGTATGGCTCATGATTCCTTTAACTTCTTTTAAGCATTCGATTGTGTTTACCATATTCAATGCAGAAATAAGCTGTCCTTTATGTTGATCTGTGAGGAAAAGATAGACTACATTTTTGCTAATGAATCTAACAGTACTCTATCAGCTATAACCACGATTATCTGATTGCTTAACTCATTTAAGAAAAAAGCTGTATAAGAATAAGCAGTTGGATATCAGTACTGACCGTTAATTATTATTTGAAACATTTCACCAAACAAAAATACGCACGGTTGTATTTGTATTTTTACTAAGTAAGATGTCAATTTGCAAGTAATCTGCCATATTTTAGCTCAAGAATGCATGAATTCTGAATAAAGTCTTCGTTACTATCAATCTTTTTACTGTCTATAATCATACGTTGTGACCAACTGTTACTTTCTGTAAGTTCCCCAATAACTGTTGTTCCACAGGTATAGTTAAATCAACTGTTGTGGCGGCTGTTTCACGATATAATGTTGTCCAATTTGCTTGGTTATTCACTACGTTAGTTGCATTCGGAGCTGAACCAATAGCACCACAACCACGTAGTCCATGTATAAATACACTTGGTCTCGGTACTTGTGTATAACCATCCTTTTTGGTTGCTGTACTAGTTTCTCTGAAATGTGAAAAGAATTGAAGACTGACTACATTTCAAAATGAATAGATTAGTACCTCATCTTTTTTATCGAAGGGTATGGATCTAGTTAAAGTCATTATGGTGTTACGACAAAACTTTTAGCAAACTTAGCTTTTACCTATGTGCAACTCGTTTCTTTGAAACATGCACTAGTAAACAGTCTAAGTTGTCTAGAGCTTCGGTTTATGTAACTCATCTAAAATATCTTAACCTAGTTACATTAGATTAGAATAGTGAACTTTCGGTAGAACGTAACGGATAGAATTTATACTGTTTCAGAAAAAAAAACTTTTAGTAATATTTCGCTACGTACATACAATTTCAAGACACCAAAATTTTCCAAGAAAAAATAGTCTTACATGTTAAACCTAAGTGTACGAAGTGTGTTCTCAACGCATGTTACCCTACAAGTCATTCTTACGACTTTACCATCCGAAGTTCGTGAAGATTGAGCAACTGGATGTTCTGTCTTACTAATATTGGAAAAGTTAGAGATACTGTGCTTTAATCAAAGTAACACGAAGTAATATAGCACCTCACACTTAAGTCTGTTAACGTTTAATCTTGTCAATCCCTTCAGTTAACTTATTTAAAAGACAGTTTCATTCGAACAGTAAACAGTTGTCTATATCTTTGTAATATTATTATCATGTCCATATGAACATATGTAATTGATCACGTCCTATATATATATATATATATATATATATATAAATCTTATCAATTCATTCGCCTCCGTATTTGCTAGTTCGTATTTTCATTTCTACTCGGACCCGCTTTGTGTGCTTGTGACTTAGTGATTTGCGATGTGCAAATTGCAGTCAACGATTCATATCGTCTCCAGGAATTTATAAATCGTTGGGAGCTACCTAGTAACGATTATTAGGATGTGTGATATACGAAGCCTTAGGAGCTATCTCTAAGACAATCCACTACGGCAGTTTTTACCTGCTACTTTTGGTTTTTAATTCGAAAATTACTGATCAACAGTATTCTAAAATAATTGATATTTATAGAAAG